TTTAACTCAAAAGTACAAAAAAGACACCATAAGTAGATATAACACAAAAATCCATCAAGGTGAGAGCTTTATATCTCTAATGACTTGAAATGATGATAATGAAGTTGGATCTACAAGCCTATGCTACTCCCAAGCAACCACCAATAGTTCTTCTTCCTCTCCCTTCACTAAAACACCACCAAAATCTCACTAATGAGCTTAAATTTCATAAGAGGCACTTAGGGTTCAATTTCAGGGCATAAGATGATGAAGGTTGGTCAAACATGTTAAAGATGTGTTATAATGAGGTTTAAATAGGGTGCAAATCCTAAAAATTATGGTTTACCTAAACCATAAGTACGCCCAACGTAATCGTGTACGTGGGTGATGCCTACGACCAGCAGATAACTAGTAGCTCCATTCTCCCCATGAACCTCTAACCCACCTCGCCCCAACAAATAGGAGTCTGAAATCTCCTTCCATAAAGGAGCTTGAATGGGGGCATACTGATACTAGCATGATGGCTAATGTTATAAGAAAACTCATCCAACGAAAGATGGGAGTCCCAACTCCCACCAAAATCAATGACACAGGCACGCAGCATATCCTCAAGCGTCTGAATAGTCCACTTGCTCTGCCCGTCCGTCTGCGGATGGTATGTGGTACTAAAGTGTAGCCGGGCACCTAATTCCTAGTAAAATCTCTTCCAGAACCTGGAAGTAAAGTGCGCATCCCGGTCCTTCACAATAGACATCGGCACCGCATGCCGAGCCACCACCTCTCGAACATAAATCTCGGCCACCTTCTCTGTAGAAGAGCTCTCACTAATGGCTAAGAAGTGAGTACTCTTCATCAAATGATCCACTATCACCTAGATAGTGTCAACACCCCTCCCAGTCCTCGATAACTTTGTAATAGAATCCATGGTGATATGCTCCCACTTCCATAGGGGAACCTCTAGAGGATGCAACTTGCCATGAGGGTGATGGTGCTCATCTTGACCTTCCGACAGGTTAAAAATCGCTCTACAAACCGTGCCACATCTCTCTTCATACATGGCCACCAGTAATTATGCTTCAGGTCGAGATACATCTTGGTAGCCCCTGGGTGGATGGAAAATCTCGATTTGTGGGCCCCTCCATCAAAATTCGTTGGGCCCCACCCGCATACAGTACCCATAGTTGGCCATAAATAGTCAAATTTCCTCGGCTGTCAATGTCAAAGGTTGAAATCTGACTGATCACCCGCTCACTTTTCTGATTTTCCTCTTTTATGGCCTCTGGCTGTGCTTCCTTGATGATCTCTAAGACTAAAGTCATCACGGTCATGCTCATGCACTCCTGAATCGGGGCACTTACCGCCCTCCGGCTCAAGGCATCGGCTACCACATTGGCCTTGCTCGGATGATACAAGATCTCACAGTCATAGTCTTTCACTACATCCAACCACCTCCTTTGCCTCATATTCAGGTTAGGCTGATCCATAAGATATCTCAGGCTCTTATGGTCCGTGTAGATGGTACACTAAACACCATAGAGATAGTGGCACAAAATGATGATGATACAAACGATCGATTCGCACCCGAGTCAAACATCACAAGCGTAGGCACAAAATTTACAAGAAAAGTACCTACACAACCGATAATATAAGCAACATAAATAAATCAACATAATATAAAGAACACATACGAGCCACGACATCTGGAGCTACACGGGCCTCCTCTGCTGTCAACTGAAATGTTCTCCCTCGAGCCCTTGGTGTCTCAGCCTTCCCTTGCCGGTCGTTATTCATACGCAGGGTCGTTGTGGCCAAAGTCTAAACCGCCCTAGATGCAAGCTGAGGACAATCAGCTTTCAGGTGGCCCGTCTGGTTGCAACAGAAACGAACCCAAAATCCCTTAGGGCAATCCCTAACCAAATAATCCCTTAGGGATAATGACTTGGGAGGGTAATAAGGTTTCCAACTTGTCCGTATTAGGTCACTAAGGTTTTTTTTGTGCGTATTAGACCAATATGGTTGTTATTACCGTTTAGAAATAGTCCTTTTACCGGTTTTAACGGGTAAAAATGACTATTTCTAAACGGTAATAACAACCATATTGGTCTAATACGCACAAAAAAAACCTTAGTGATCTAATACGGACAAACTGGAAGCCTTATTACCTTCCTAAGTCATTAACCCTAATTATTTAGAAAAACATGCTTACTAATCAATGTGATTGATTTGTTTGACTGAAAATAATTGCTTCCATTTAAAATTATCTCACAACCCTTCCAGAACTTCTAAGTCCAGAAACTCATATGATTGATGATCTTCATTACATAAATATGCAACATTTTATCAATAACTTCTTTTTTGTCATTTAACTGTTTACATGAACACATCTATATGTACAAAAACAAAATCTCACTTTGATACCTCCCATCAATGTCTACATTTGATAACGAATGAAAATGTAAAACCAACAGGGACTTGTATAGGATGTCTATTATCAATTATTTTATAAAAGCAAAACCACAACATGAACTAAGAAACTGAAGTTGCAAAATGAATAAAAAAATCAGCACATAAACAAATACATACATACTATATACAACACATACACGGAAGTTTATAAAGCATGAAAGTTAATGACAAGAAAAGAAAAAAACTTAAACGAGACTTTATAGAAAGAAAGATCACCCTTACTTGCCACAAATGGTTGAAGACATCAACAAGAAGATCAATCTGACCATAGAATCCACATGTTGTCTCGATTTGTGTGTGTCATCCTTGCGCAAGGGCATGCTAATCTTCTCTGTATTGTTCCAATTTTATCGGATGTCCCAAAAGGGACGACTATAGTTGAAGAGCTTCGCCATATAGAGGAGTAGCAGGTTATATGAGACGACGCGAGTTCTAAACGAAGTAGTTTATTGTTGATGGTCATATATTCTCAATGTCTTTAAAATTAGGGTTAATGACTTAAGAGGGTAATAAGGTTTCCAGTTTGTCCGTATTAGGTCACTAAGGTTTTTTTGTACGTATTAGACCAATATGGTTGTTAATACCGTTTAGAAATAGTCCTTTTTACCCGTTAAAACCGGTAAAATGACTATTTCTAAACGGTAATAACAACCATATTGGTCTAATACGCACAAAAAAAAACCTTAGTGACCTAATACGGACAAACTGAAAACCTTATTACCCTCTGATATGTGTATTTTAATATATATTTTTATGCACTTTATCTTAATATTTTGGCCTTATTTATTCTATTTTAGAACTAAAAAGTACTCATAATACTTTGAATTATGCTTTGTAGCTATTCGTTGTCAATAAAGCACAAAAGAAAAGACTGAAGCGGAAACCGGACTTAGGAGCTAAAAGGAATGAAATATGCTGAAGAAGAGGATTACGCCCCGCGTAAAGTTGCATTACGCCCAGTGTAGTGCTTAAAAGCGTCGTACGCCCCGCGTAATTAAAGAGTATGCGCCGCGTACTGGGTGCCTTCAGATAACTCCAAATCGCGTAGTAATCCTATGTACACCCCGCGTAATCTTATGTACGCCCAGCGTACTTAGGTCGGCTACAAAGACTATAAATGTCGATTTTCAGCTAACCAGGAGGGGGGATTCAACTTCTAACCTAATTTAGTCGACAATTAACTTCTGTTAAGCCGTTTTGAGGGTCTAGAAGGCGGCCGGAAGGCCGTTAAGCTAACGGGAGCGGAGATCGGAAGGGTTGGAGAGCGGATACGTGTCAGTAATCCTATGGACTGTTAACGTGACCATGTTTAGCATTCCGTTGCATTACTATCTTGTATTTAGTTTCTGACTTGGGTGTAAAATCCTTTTACTTTGTGTTTATGATTGAATGAAGCTTTGATTATTAGACTAATTGCTATATTGAATAGTTTGTTTGTGTTTAATTTATCTTGCCAAGCTTGTTAAAAGATCCTTACTTATTAATGATAATTATTTGCTGTTAATTGTTAATTGAATTGAGTTGCATGAACACCTGCTTGATTGCTTGTCTCTTATAATTTTGATGACCATCGAGATTATAAGTCTAGAAATAACGAATGTGAAACTAGGATTAACATGGGAATAAGTAAGTTAATGTGTGAGCCTTGTTTGATGACCATCAACAAGATGTTAATTGAATGTTTAATTTGGTTAACTATATTTACAAGTCTTGATTGATACGAACTGAACACTAGGAAGCATGTTAGTTTAATCAACTGATCACTGTTTGAATTGACTTGTTTGCTAAAGGATTAGTTATAGTGAACGCGTATCTAATCATTTTAGGAATTGGTGAACATGAATAAATGAATTTGTGTATGCAATTGTCTATGTTTTTAAAGTGTAATTTGTCTAAACCAAAGTACCTGAAGAGATTTGCTTCCCTGTTAGTTTATCAAAAATGGTCAATTAATTATTAGTTTGAGATTTATTAAATTATTTCTTTTATTCTTTTTGTGTAACCTGTAACCTATAATTAAATATATTAAATTAATCCACCGTTCCCTGTGATCGACACCCGACTTACCTAAGCTATACTGTAATCTGACTAGGTACACTGCCTATAAGTGCATAGTTAGTCTAAGTTTGTTAGGTTATAAATATTAAAATTAATGGGTACTTTTGTGCATATCACCCTCCTAAGTCATTATCCCTAATCCCTTACGGCATCATGTCGTATCTTGCTCATATAATCGTGTCATGTCAAATAAAAACACGAAACGATAGCCGGATTTGACACCCATATTCACAAGGGTCTCTAAAAAATAGTGATAATTTAGGTTTTTTGTTAAAATTTTGTCTAGTGTTTGAAACAAACTTATAAAATTTGTTAAAATTTGTCTTTTATCTCTAAAACAATTTTTTTTGTTAATCGTCTTTTGTTCAATAATTTTAGTTATTTCTATAAACGCTTAATGGTCATTTAACTTTATATTTGTTAAACATCAACGTGATATTCCAATAATCAATAGTTAACAATAAAAAAAATTACAACGACAATCACACAAACTACAATCGAAAACCACCAACAAGCAAAACCACTGAACCACAAGCCATTTGGTAGGGAATGACAAATTGGATTCCGATTTGTTCGTCGATTTTATAATGCTCAAAACTAAAATTAAAGCTTGCATCATCGCTTCCGTCATATCAATGTTGTGTACAGCTTATCTTCCATATCATACAACTACTTGGAGCGTAAGTCTCGGTAATCGCTGTGAGAACTGATTATACTATATTGAACAGCCAACAACCAGGGCTAGTATTTATACCGATCGAAACACCAAACAATCCTTCCATCCACAAATTAGTCAAACCTGAAACTAAGTGGTGCTGTTTCAACCAAATCATTGGAAAATGGCGGATGAAGTGAAGTTGTATGGCGCTGGAGGAAGCCCATTCGTTTGCAGAGTTAAAATCGCTTTGAAGATGAAGGAAATCAAGTACGAAAACTTCGAAGAAGATATGAGCAACAAGAGTGCCGATCTTTTGAAGTACAATCCTGTTCATAAGAAAGTGCCGGTGCTGGTGCATAACGGAAGTCCGATCGCAGAGTCTCTTGTGATCGTGGAGTACATCGATGATGTCTGGAAAGGGGTTCCGATTTTGCCTCAGAATCCTTATGAGAAGGCTCGTGCTCGATTTTGGGCCAAATTCGTTGATGATAAGGTAATAATTTCAATTCCTTCTCAGATCTCTCCTAAACCTAACGATGAAATTATAAATTACATTAAGTCATTGTTTAATGAGTTTACATGATTATATGGTTTGTTCAGTGTATGCCTGCAGCATTCAAGGTTTTTGGCAGCAATGGAGATGAGCAGGTTATTGCGGAAGCTTGTGAGCAACTTCAAATGCTAGAAAATGAACTGAAAGTCAAAGGTACAAAGTTTTTTGGAGGTGACAACATTAACCTGGTTGATATTGCTGCTGATTTCATAGCCTATTGGCTTGGAATAATCGAAGAAGCAACTGAAATTAAGTTTTTTACGAAAGACAAGTTTCCAAAACTCACGGAATGGGCTGATGAGTTTGTCAACTGTCAAGTTGTGAAGGAAACCTTACCTCCAAGAGGGAACATGGTTGCATTTTTCAAGAAACGGTTTGGTAAGGCGTAATTAAACTATAATGATACGTATGTTAACAACATATATAGTTATATATTTGGTTGTTTAATTTGTGGTTATTGAAGTTGAAATTTCTGTAACATGTATATGATGTTGCAAATTTGCAATAAGCAGCTCTTATATGCTGATGAGTTTTTGTAATACGTTTTATGTTGAGATATTGTTGGCTATCGTGTATCAGTGTTTGATTTGAGATTTGATTTTCATAATTTATAATTATAATTAAATTATTATTATTATATTAAATTTGTATGCAAGAGCAATTTCATTTTATTAATTTTTCTATTTGAAACATATATAGTTCAAAATATAATGAACACAGTTACTTAAAATAGAAATTGATTTGTTAATAATCGAATCCTTATGTGGTAATTGAACACTTTATCTAGTTATAACTAGTAGATTAATTAAATATTCAATCTATGTGGTTCGGTCACAACTCACAATCCCTTTTTTTGATCCAGTGTTTTTTTTTTTTTTTTTTTAGCTTCGGTAGTGAATCGTTTACTAAAAAAAGAAGCAGACCCATACACCCACAACAATTGAAACCGGGAAAATGATTTAAAAAAGGTAATGAAGTTTCAAAGATGTATAAAAAATATCATTATTTTATTTTTAGTATTCAAAATATCATTAAAATATATTTTTTATATACAAAATACCAATGAAGTACATATGTGTTTAAATAAAACCTTGTGGGTAACCTACAATAGCCGGTAAAATGGTATTTTGTGTAAAAAAAAAAAAAAAAAAAAAACAATGGTTTTAACAAATTACAAAGTTCCTCTGTGATCCATAGGGAAAAACTATCTTACCCTTTTAATATATTTTTCTTTTTTTCATTTATACATTTGTAATTTTTTAACAATATAAAAATAAAGAACAAATTACACGAATGGTCCTTTAGGTTTTGTTTTTCCCCTAAAGTAGTCCTTACGGAACTTTTTTCCTTGACATGGTACCTACGGAGCAAACTTTGCACATAAATGATTCTTATAACTAACTATGTTAACAGATTCTGTTAAGTGTTTGTGAAAAGACGAAAATACACTTTGTTTTTATTTTTTATATTTATTTTTATATTTTGTTAATTTGCAATAAAAAAGGTGGGGTCCTCTCTCTCTCTCTCTCTCTCTCTCTTACACACATACATACACATGAATATTGACATAAACACATACATAAACAGAGGGTCCGATTGAAATCGGTATCATTCCATCAAAATCAGAAGTTTGGCGAAGATCTAGTTTCAATTGAAATCAGGTGGGTCCGATTGTAGGGGTTTTGAGGTTCGATTTCATGGGTTTCACCCAGATGATGAACATACAAAAGTCGGAGATGGAAGGACTTTGAGAAAGCAGTTTGGTTGTGAAAACTTTGAAGGAAATCAAGGAAGGGTTAGAGAAGATGGATCTAAAAGCATGTCCAACAAGAGTGATAATGTCGAAGCTGCATCCAACGATGATGTCCCACCTAGCCCTTCAGATCTCGTCAAAGACATAAATATCACTAGCATACTCCACACACACACACACACACAGGCTTCTGATTCTTCTTATTAACTGTTTTCAATTTCTTTTTCTATGGTGCATTGTCGCTACTAGCTTCTAGCTCCGACGAGATTGGATATGTAGTGGTGAGCCAATAAAATGGTGGATTTAGGCTTCTTAACCAATCAAACTCTTAAAATATATTGGAATCGGAAGAGGGTTCGGCCATTTGGGTGTTGCTGATACCTGACACGCCAAGTCGAAACCCAACAGGGGGTTCAATCGATCATGCATCACCACCATGGAGTTGATCCGGTGACAAGAGGAAAGGGGCGGAGTCGATCAGTCCACAACTGGTAGATCTGTCGGAAAAGATGAAGCCCGTAAATTGATCTCTTTCAAAAAATGATTCACATATCATATTTTGAACACACGAAAATCGATTATGTAAATTCACACATGCACACACAAAGATCTTAGGTTTCTTGAACAAGTTCTCGGAACACAAACAAATCGATTTTATTAGTGGGTTCACAGTTGAACACCATTAACCAAAACCTGCAAATCAATTTATGGGTTTTGTTAGGGCTGCTAACTGTGTATTTTTATTAGCTTCTCCAGGATGAATGAAATGAACACAAACCTGCAAATCAATTTATTTTTTCCAAAAAAACGATTTTTATTAGCTGCTAACTGATGATTTTCATTCATCATCGATTGTATGTGTATGAGTGTATTGTGTGGAAATGGTGATAAGAGAGAGATGGACATTTTGTGTGCACAAAACAGATGGTATTTTTGTCATTTAATAAAACTTAACAAAATTTGTAAACATAGTTAGTTATAGGGATTATTTGTGTGCAAGGTTTGCTCAGTAGGTACCATCTGAGGGAAAAAAAGTTTAGTAAGGACTACTTTAGGGGAAAAACAAAACCTAAAGGACCATTCGTGAATCAAAATAACGAATAACTCAATGGAGCTTTACATGAATCGTGTTATGGTTTTGTCATCTTTATATACCGATTGAATAAGGTATTAAGTGAGAGTTAGGTTGATTCATTAATAGTTATCTTATGTGTGAGTTTCATGGATTCATAAATAACAATGTTAGATGGAAGTTGAATAGATTCGTAAATAGCAGTGTTTGGTGACCGTTGGATGGATTCCTAAATATGAGTGTTAGGTGAGAGTTTAGTGTATTAATCAATGGATCTATTTTAGTGAATAACCATAATTTTTATAGTGGCATTACATATTTAAGTTAAAATTTTGGTAAAAACAGTTCAATTATATAACAAATAAAGAAATAAATATTTGGAAAATTAAATTACACATAGAATTTAGAAGTAAGAATCTCACATTATATATTTTATATATAACTACAACCATTTTATTCAAAAATACATCTATCAGTATCACAAACTTCTATGTTACTTATTATAGTATCTATGCATTCTAGATATCTAAGTCGACAACATGGGTGTTGCTAAGAAGACACATCACTGACACCTTTATAAAAAAGTCAACCTATAAGGTTTGAGGGAATAGTAACGCCACCCCTCTCGCCAAAAGGCTTGTTATTAGATGTTACCCCATCCCCACCAGCTCAATAAGGGACACGCCAAGAACAACTCGTTAAGGAGCTAGCGACATGAGAGAGAGAATGCAGAGATGAAATCTGATTGGCTCTTTCCTTTTTCTATTATTATTATTATTTTTCGTGATTTACCTTTGTTGTTGTCTTCCCCAATCTCCTCTCCACACATTTTTAGTTATTCACTTGCTTTGGGAAAAATTGTGATATGTAATAAGCTTAAAATGGAAAATGGGAGTCTATCATTGCAATCAATTGCTAGGAGGAAGAAGGCACGAGAATCTAAATTTAACATAAATGGGCTTTCAAAAATCCTAGACTTACACATCACACCCTCATCTTAATTCCTCTCACAAACCAAGTTTTTGAAATTACCAAAAGGACCCTGCACTTAAATATTACACTTATTTTCATGTAATTGATTTATATTATATTAATTTTTGGTGGTTTAAAAAAATAAAATTTGATTAATATTTATGCATAAAAAATGTTTGTGTATTAAAATAAAGTAATTTAATTAAATTAGAAAAAAGAAAATAAAAAAATGGAGTGTTAGGAGTGTTACCACTTTCTACCAAATGTTAAGATTAGATGCTAAATGGAGAAAAATGATGTGGTACTCAAAAATCTGATGTGGCAAGGTGTTAAGAGTGTTACCACTCCATTTAGCCTAACTAACTACTTATAATCAGTTGTTTTGGAAAACATTGCAATTTCAACCAATAAAAATATTTGAAAATTAATTACGGTGTCTAAATGTTAAAATGAGATGTCTTTTTATCCAACCCTAACAATATATAAATATCATCGTCAAGTTTCGAGGACTTCCAACATTGGAAATCTTCAATCAACAAAGATGAATCAACTATTGCAGCTCCACGATCAAGGTTGTCCACTCATTCTTACTTTATATGCTTTTAGACTTCTAGGCTTATAGCGGTGGCCTTCTTGCACCTAATTGTCTATGTATTGTGTGTGTTTGCCTTCTCTATTTGGTTGCGAACATCCAATAGTCGAAATCACGCACGGTTGGAACCTTATCCCCACCTAAACACCTGAAAGTAAGGATGAGATTTAGAACCGGAAAACCAGATCGGAACCGGAACCGTTAGAACCGGAATATGTAAAACCAGTTCGGGTCCTGGGTTTAAAGAATGGCTCTATTCGGGTTCTGGGTAATCTGGGTTTCAGGTCCTTCAGGTCCGGGTAAATTGGGTTTAAAAACTGGAACCGTGTTAGGAACCGGAGCCGGTTTTAGGGGCCGGAACTGGTTTCTGTGAAAAGCTTAAAACATGCATATCTCATTCGTTTAAAGTCGGATTTGTATGAGGCTTTTTCTAGAATGTATTTTATAGTTTGTACATGATTTTAGACTATAATTTTTTCATTTTTGGGTTTATATTCATTGACTTACAGTCTCTTAAATTCGGGATATCAAAACTTGGAAATTATATGGTTTTCAACTTTTTGTATTATGTGATAGTTTTAAAACATATATATCTCATTCGTTTGATGTCGGATTGATATGAGCTTTTTCCAGAGTGTATGTTATAGTTTGTACATGATTTTAGACTATAACTGTGTCATTTTTGGGTTTATATTCATTGACTTATAGTTTCTCAAAGTTGGGATATCAAAGCTAAAAATTTTATGTTTTTCAACTTTCTTTGTATTTTGTGATAATTTTAAAACATGCATATCTAATTCGTTTAAAGTCATAATTTATGGGTTTTGAGCATTACATCAATCCTATGGTACACATACAACCCTAAAGCTTTGAATCTAGGTTTTCTCTAATTGTACATGCAATAATCATCCAAAGCTATAAACCCTAATCTAGCACGCATAAATCGAAATTTATATCTAAAACAAAGTTAGAATCTTACCTTTCAATTGTAGCTAGATTGATCTGTTGGATTAGTGTCTAAATCCATAACTATTTTGGTATGTACTTGACCCGATGGTGTATGGTCCTTTTGGGTTGCCTTCACCAAAGCAACTTGATTGGAGAAATAAATAAAGAGAGAGAGGTTATTATGATTTATTAATATGTTATAAGAATAATATATTAAAGGAGAAATCATATTTTTTTAATTAATATTGGTCAATAATTAATTAGGAATTAATTTTGTGATCAAGTGTAATTAATTAAACTAGAGGGGCTGATTTGTAATTATGTGATAGTTACAAAATAAGGTAAGGATTATCTTAAATATAGGGTGAACGAATTTAAGGAGATTAGGCCTTAGAATTCGACTAGGATAAGGGTTTCTAAGACTTATCTTATTGTTACTTGGTGGGCAAGCAACTAGATAAGGATAAGGACTAAAGCCCTAATCTTTACACCTATATAAATCCCGTAAGGCTCATGAATTCGTCTAAGCCTTCCCAAGAAGTCCTAAGGACGAATTCCTACCTCTCTCCTTTCTCTTTATACCTTCTCCATTTGCTCTTGGTGTTTGTAAGCCATTAGAGGAGTGACACTTATGACTCTAAGCATTCCAAAGTTAATTCAAAGAGGAATTGGGATTGTTATGTTAGAAATTTGGGTTTAGAAAGGCTTGGAAATTCTGAGAATTGTGATTATCACTTTCAAATCGAAGTATTTGGTGGTACTCCCAAATCTTCAATTGGATAAGACTCAGAGAGACAACAACAAAGAATGTTTGATGATATTTTCGTATGTACCAGAAAATGAGACCAAAACCAACTTTTAACAACTTTGTCTGAAAACTGTCATATGACAGTTTTAAACTGTCATAAAACCATAAAAACTGTCATAAAACGGATATATGGATAAGGGTCAACCAGTGGTCAATTATCTGGAAAATCAATTATCTCGATCCCAGCCAGGGGCTCTGCCCCTTGGACCCCGCCAGGGGCTGCCGCCCCTTGGACCCCGCTCCCAGGGGCGCTGCCCCCGGACCCCCGTTCGTTCAGGGGCTTCGCCCCTAAATGACAGTGTACTTTGAAACTTGATCAAACTTAAACAAGTGTGTACTCCACACCTTCCTTACTTGTTTAATATTTATCAAGATCATTTTTGGTCAACACAAAGTAATCTCATTACACTTAAATAACATTGATGATCAAAATCACCAACAAACCTCCCCCATTTAAGTGTAATCTTGATTAACTTAAAATGAAACATAACAACAACAAATTGATGCATAAATGAAATGTCGTGACGATTGAATTTCACATTAGTATATTATTCATTCCAAATATCCGAATATTAGGGTGTCACTACGGATTGAACCCTTTCTATTCATAGTGAATACATGAAGATAATACACACAACAATTTACATTCTCATAAGTTCTAACTTGACACTATATTTTACTAGCTTGTGTCCCATCCTTCAATAAGTATATCAAAGTCAAGTCCCAACTTCTTGAAGCAGCTAAACTTCATACTTATATAGGTAGTTCTTTTGTTCTTGCACCTGCAAATGCAATTTTTCAAAGAACTATTAAGA